TTTACGAGGATAAAAAGCCATCACTTAGCACATTCTGGCAGCTCTTTTACTTTCTATCTTCTTTCTTCCAAACACAAACTGTAGCAGCTGGAGCACCATAGCTGAGCAAAGAATAAAATTTTTGGAGGTAAGTTCTGCTTACGTTGTTTGAATGAGCATATTAGAATTTTGGATTAATTTAGTATTGTTTGTACTGTATGTAATGAGCTGCTTCTATAAACTGCAGAAATTGGTAGAAAATATCGACAATTCGACTTATTGATTCGGTGGAATGGTCGAATTACACATTTTCATGATAGTATTGACTACGAAGATGGTGAATCAAGTACTGTCCGGATTAAGAGCATATTTACTTGGCAAGAACTCAACCATATTTGTGCGGAACGATGTTGCATAGGAGGGCGAAGAGTATGCAAGATGACTTACCGCATGCCGGTTTACAAGGATTATGCACTTGTATATGAAGGATCAGTTTTGTCTGACGATGATGACATTAATATGATGGTGAGATTTATTGCAGAGAACAGATTTCCAACTGCTGAGGTGTACGTCGAGACATAAGTTGTTGGCCAATATGGTGGGGGCAGTTATATCGAACAAGGTGAAGGATCGTGAGGGTTTTCCAGTTTAGGAGATTTTAGAGTTTTGCATGATGCACCGTGGCCAACATACGAGGATCGAACAACAACTGGACTATTGGTGGAACATGACGGACAGGAGTGGCCAGTATGGGGTGAAGAATGGGATTACATAAGGGCACCTAGACAGTCACCCAGACAAGCATCTACACCAGCATCTGGCATCAACAATGATCCGTATGTGGATAAACCAAGTCCTCCGTACACTAGCGAGGCAAGCGACGTGGAAGATGAAGAGTTAGAATCAATGAGTAGTTCAGATGATGAAGATCTGGAAGTTGATGAGGGGGAACTTGAGCCCCCCGCACCTCACTACACGATGGTGCCACAACATCCTCTCTATGCTCACAACGACGATCCTGACCTCCCTCCTATAACTATCTGGACTCCTGATTCTGGATTCGTGGTTGGCCAAACATTTGGAGGAAAGCCTCAGGCGGTCGATGCATTGAAAGAAACTGCTATACGAAGAAGCTTTCAATATCGTGTCATCACTTCTGACACTAAACAAATTCATGTTTGTTGCGAGAACCATGGCGACGGATGCATGTGGCATGTTCGGGCGGCATATGGTAAAAGAAATGGAGCTTGGCTCATTCGTAAGACAGACAACAACCACACTTGTAGGTCGTCACTAATTTCTCTAGATCACCGACAATTGAGTGCAAGGAAGGTTGCACAAACAATCAAACATCTGATTGAGGCACAACCTAGGATCACCGTGAAGAGTGTCATCGCTGAAGTGAAGAATCAACATGGCTATACCATCAGTTGCAAGAAAGCATGGCATGGGAAGCAAAAAGCTATGGCAGAGGTGTATGGCGATTGGGAAGAGTCATTTGCTAACATGCCTTGTTCGATTCTTGCAATGGTGGACAAGAATCCTGGGTCTATTTTTGTGCCTAGTTACGAAGATTTCTATGGGGGTGCTAAACGCATGTTTAAGCGACTATTTTGTCCATTCAAACCATGCATTGATGGTTTCACCCATTGTCTGCCAATAATCCAAGTTGATGGCACCTTTCTGACCGGCAAATACAAGGGCACTCTACTCGTTGCCACTTGCCACTAGTGTTGATGACAGTATGCAACTTTTCCCGCTTGCTTTTGCTATAGTCAAATCGGAGAACAACTTAAGTTGGGCATGGTATTTTTCCCAACTATACACTCATGTCACTCAACGAAAGGACATTGCCATACTTTCTGATCGACACCATGGAATTGCACATGCTTTCTACGACCTGCCCGAGGAGCTAGGGTGGAAGTGGCGATGGTGCATACGACCTTTCAAAAGCAATTACAGGAAGCACATTGGTAGAACTTATGGACAACGTGCAGTTTGGCACGCTAGTAAGAACAAATAAGATGTTGTGATTATATCAATTGTTTGAATGCGTATACTCCTTTACTAACCTTATTTTGCTTTATTGTAGCTATTTCTTTTTAGACTCGAAAGTTTGTAGACAAAATGAAGAGCATAAGGGAGGTCCACTCTGAAGGTGCAGATTGGCTAGAAACTCATTCTTTTGAGAGGTGGACGTTACATCAAGATGAAGGGTATAGGTATGGAATAACAACATCGAACATGGGTGAGTGCCTCAATGGTTTGTATGTTGGTCTTCGTGCAATGCCTATCTCATCTATAGTCTTGCATACCTTCTTTCCTACGGTGACATGGTTCATTGAACGCTACCAAGCAGCATATCAGATGCTGAATGCTGGAATCTACATCCCAAAGAAGATTACGGATGATATGAAACCATGGTCGGAAAGGGCAAAATGGCATAAGGTGACTTTATTTAGTCGAAGAGATTCCCGCTTCGCAGTAGTAACAGGAAGTGGACCAGATAGTTCAAGTGGTGGTAATGCTCAAACAGTCATACTGGATGCAAGGAATGGAATAGGAGAGTGTACTTGTGGGAATTTTCAAGGGAGACAGCAGCGAGAAGCGTTAATTTGGACCCTTTGATATTTGTTAGTCCATACTACAAGACTCCATACGTGGTCAGAGTTTGGGAAGGGTCGTTCTTTCCCTTAGCTCAAGAAGCATATTGGCCCCAGTATGATGGACCTGTAGTGTACCCTCCCGAGCACATGAAGCGTACCAAAGGTCGACCTAGAGTTAACCGAATTGCAAATGGAATGGATATATCAAGGACACAGCGACGCCGCCCGAAGAAGTGCTCTGCATGTCGAGTTGAAGGGCATGATAGACGCCAGTGTCCAGGGCCATTGATTGACAATTGAAAGTTTATGTTGTAATTTGAATTTTATATAGTGATTTAAGAACTTTATGTTGTAATATGAATTTTATGTGGTGGTTTAAGAACTTTATGTTGTGATTTAAGAACTTTATGTTGTAATTTGAATTTTATGTTGTAATATAAATTTTATGTTGTGATTTAGAACAACTTAACAACTCTAGAGAAATAGAACAACTTAACAACGTCATTACAAATAGAACAACTTAACAACATCATTAGAAATAGAACAACTTAACAATGTCATTAGAAATAGAACATGACAAGAACTCTAAAGAAATAGAACAACTTAACAACGTCATTAGAAATAGAACATCTTAACAACTCTAAAGAAATAGAACAACTTAACAACTCTAAAGAACACCTCACTCTTGTGCACCACGTTCGCGTCCCTCTCTTCGATGTCTATTCCTTGAATGAACTCCATATCCAATTCCAGTATTTAGTGGCGATGGAGGTGGGGTTGCAGTGGCTGGAGGACCATAATAAACATTTGTCATCGGAGTCTGGAAGCTTTGCTGCGGGGTTTGGAATTGATGACCATATGATGAAGCATAGTAGGCTCCTCCTCCCCCTCCTTGAGCAGGACCTGATGATCCCTCTCCGAATTCCCTTCTGACTGGAGGGAATCCATACTCGTATGGGTCAGGATGTGCCACATCTTCTCGTACTTGAACAGGGACTGTAACTGGCTCTTGCCGAAGTTTACTCCTCCTTGGTGGTGATGGCGGGAGAGATTCAACTTCAATGGCGTGGGAGGAAGGACGTGGCGGTGCAGGTGCAGGAGGATATGCAATGACATCCCTTCGGATTTCCCGCAAACATGACAAGAGATTCTTGAAGAGCTTCTTCAAGAATGAAATTTTCTCAGCTGGCACATCTCCTTCTGGTTCATTCTCCAACGTCATTGATGCAAGTTCCAACCCATCAACCTAAATAATAAACTTGTTAGTCAAACACTCTTTGTGTAGCTAAAGTGATATAGTAAATAGATATTGTGCTTACCAACGAACCGATTACGGCGCCACGTTTGGTTACCCATCTTTTTGTGAACTTGCGGTACCAAACCATGTATTCATTTTTGTACGCCATTGGCCTCGTCATTGGGATCCCATCAATTGCATACGTCTGACGAGACTCCCACATTTCAATCCATCTATGGTGTTTGGTTGGCCAATCACTGATTGTACCCCGCAAATCCTTGCTATACTTGTGGAGTGACTTATGTACGTCCGGTGGTGGGAGAGGAATCGGTTGCGCCCAATTATATTGTCAGACACATCTATCCGGGAGGTGCCACTCGACAATGTTGTGGCAGATCATAGGCAACTTGCACGACCAGAGTCGACGATCCTGAGGGTATCGCAACTCGTACAAATCCTTTGCTCCGTTCGGATACGGATCCACTCCACCTAAGTTTCAGCACAACATATAAATTAAAATTGAAGCAAATAATTTCAACAACTCAAATAGGATTCATAATCATAAAAATAAATAATGGGCTAAGACAAATAATTTCAACAAATAAAATAGAATTCGTAATCATAAAAATAAATCATAGGCTAAGTCTAAGACAAATAATTTCAACAACTCAAATAGGATTCTTAATCATAAAATTAAATAATGGGCTAAGACAAATAATTTAAAAAAAAAAAATAGAATTCGTAATCATAAAAATAAATCATAGGCTAAGTCTAAGACAAATAATTTCAACAAATAAATTAGCATTCATAATCATAAAAATAAATCATGGGCTAAGACAAATAATTTCAACAAATAAAATAGAATTCATAATCATAAAAATATAGCATGGGCTAAGACAAATAATTTCAACAAATAAATTAGCATTCATAATAATAAAAATAAATCATGGGCTAAGACTAATAATTTCAACAAATAAAATAGGATTCATAATCATAAAAATAAATCATGGGCTAAGACTAATAATTTCAACAAATAAATTAGCATTCATAATCATAAAAATAAATCATGGGCTAAGACAAATAATTTCAACAAATAAAATAAGATTCATAATCATAAAAATAAATCATGGACTAAGACAAATTATTTCAACAAATAAATTAGCATTCATAATCATAAGCTAGAATGTTACCTCGTTGAATTCTATACAGTCAAGATGTTGGCGGTACCCGTCTAGAGAGGTGAGTCTCGTGATAGCTCCAATCCATCTAGCACCATAAGCCCATTGTCGTAGTGGCTCATCGGGACCCCAACTGTTGGTAGGGCAGATCGGAGCGAAAGTCGGAAGGTGCTCCCAAACCCATAGTTGGAGGATGAACATGAGACCACCCGCTTGCTTTGTTTTCGGATCCGTACACTTGCACAACTCCAAATATATCATCGCCAAACAAGCAGATCCCCAACTTTTTCTCCCAATCTCGTCCCAATCTTCCAAAAGAACTCGAAACCACATACAATGAATATTTCCACCAGACTTGTTCGGAAACAAAAATCCTCCAACCAAAAAATCAGGTAGATGCGAGCATACCTCTCTATCTGAGCATTCGTGGCATCCTCCGGTAATTCCCCAACGGTCCTCGCTAGCCAAGGTATCAATAGCATATACTTGTGTAGAGGTGGTACATGACGACCTTCTTGTGTTTTCTCGGGGATGTTGATACCTAAACGCTCGTTTATAAATGGGCCCCAACCATTCAATGGTTTCTATGAACTTTCTATTATTGCATGACCATCGATTGGAAGCTTTGTCAGCATGGCTACGTCCTTCAACGTAATCGTCATCTCTCCCTCTAGAACGTGGAATGTGTGCGTTTCTTTTCTCCATCTTTCCACCATTTTCCGTAAGAAGGTTGTTGTCCATCTCCATCCCCACAAACTTTCGCACCCTCAGCAATCGCGCTCTTTCAATGAAGGGCTCAATACGATCATCCCATTTAGGCAAGCGAGATAGCGACCGATGAGTGATTACGTCAAGTTGTTCCTGTAAAAAAAAACATTAATTATTAAAAAAAAGAAAAGTACATGAGGAAGTGCTTACCGGATCTGCCGCCCAAACACTTTCAGACCGATGGTAAGGCTGCTCATTCAACAAATCGGTTAGTCGCGGTCCGCCTTGAATGTATAATCTAGGATCGTAAATACTCGGATCCATCTCGACAATTTTGAGTGATAGAAGTACCAAACTAAAGAAAAAAATCTGATGCGGAAGATCGGGCTTAGCCGCAACCACAGAGCATATTTTTTTCTTCAAGAGTGGTGGGAGGAAAAGAGGAAGAAGAATGGAGTGGTGTGAGTTTTGGTGGAATGGGAGAGGGTATTTATAGGTTCTGTGGGAGAGTGGATCGAGTTTACAAAACTCGAACCCGTGCATCGTTTTCGGGGCACTCGATCCGCGTCAAAAGCAGTTCGTGGTTAGGGGCATCGAACGATCCAGATCGAGTTTAGGGTACTCGATCAATGGTGGATCGCGCCAGACGTCATCTATCCGCGTCAACTTGATCGACTACCAACAGACTCGTTCTACTGCATCGAGTTTCACCATCTCAATCCGCGTCATCCCTGCATCGCGTGGTTGGCAATCGAACGGCCTAGATCGAGTTTAGAGTACTCGATCGACGGTAGTGTGCGCCTTACATCATCGATCCGCGTCAATCAGATCGATTACTAAGGACTCGATCTACTGACATCGAGTTTCCCACACTCGATCCGCGTCATCACTGCTTCGCAGGTTGAGCAATCGAATGGCCTAGATCGCTTCCGGTACATCGATCTAGGGTGGAGCGCTGCCCAGGTCATCGATCCAAGTAATGCTGTTCAAGTCTTCCATCCTCGATGCACGTGGATCGATTTGTTGGCAGTCGATCTAGTGGTAGTTCGAGTTTGTTGAACTCGAACCGTGTCAAACTTTGGTAGTTTGAGAATTTTTAATAAAAGTTATGTATTCTGTGAATTATTTTTAATTATTACCGTATTTAGGGAATTAATCTGAAGAAAACGGAAGAAAGAAGGAAGGGTCAATTTGGGCAAGAAAATTGCTTCAATCACAGTAATTGAAATTCCGGAGGGTGGGGGCCGTAATTCTCATTCCCGCGTCTGTTGTAATTGGGCCAATTCCCACGTCCCAATTTCATATTTATTTTTTGCGGCCAAACATGGAATTTCCAGCCAATTACTGCATAACGTGGGAAAGAGGGCCAATTCCCACGTTCAATTCCCACAGCCAAACGACCCCTTAGATTCATTTAAATTGTTTGTTGTATGTCAAATTACCTCAAAAAAATGTCAGTGGTAAGTAATTTGATGAAATTTCCAGTACAATCTGGAATGCTTCTGAATTATGTGTGGCAACTCAAGATTCCTTAACTAATACTATTGATAAGTAATTAGATGAGGTTTCTAGTAAGCTTAAATTTTTTTGTGGTATTGCTTATCGAATTATATAATACCATTGATATACAATTAGATGAATATACTAGTTAAAAGTTCAATAAGTAAAATCATGGAAAATGAATTATCCCATGATCTTTGGCACTATTACTCAGTAACCTATCTATTATTTAGCAAACCTGTAATAGAGAAGTTACTAACACAACAGGAAAACTGGTTTTTAGGCACGGTAAGTTTTCCCCTACTTAGATGTACACTAATTAGCACGATAAAAAATCTTGTAATTAATTGTATGGTTCTAATAAAGGGAATTCTTTTAAAAAAATTTAGCTTCATTTAATGTGATTAATTATTAATCACGGTTAATTATCATGAACATTGTTATATTTTATCTTTCCTTAATAAAAATAAAAAATAATATTACTGTAAAAAGAATAAGGATGAGAGAAAATTCGTTGCCATATTGTTCCATAGAGCAAATTGGCAAGAAAAAAATGTTGTCCCTAATAATTCACATAATTGCCTAATTGGACATAATTTTCTAATTAGAACCTCTTTTGATAATGGGTCTAATTGGAACTTCATGGGTTAACTTGGGACACTTAAATTAGGACACATTTAACTTGGGCTACTTAACTTCGAGAGACGTTTACCTTGGGACATTTAATTGTAACTTCATTTGAAAATTGCTTAGTTGGACACTAAAATGGAACTTCATGAAAACTGACTTATTACCGCACCTTAAAATTCCATCTCATTCCATCCCACAAAATTATCGTATGAACTTGAAATATTTAGAATATGGGATGAACGTACATCATAAGTGATACTTCCCGAGCTCGTGAAAGTTTACGTTATTTTTATCAAAGTCGTGCAGCTTCAATTAAGCATGGATAGCTCGATTAGATCTTCAAACGAACACAAAAATAAAAGTGATACGTAAGAATAGATACTCGCCACAATCAAGTGTAATCGCTTGATTGATAAGAGTCTTGCCAAGCTCTTTAGGACTCCTCAACAGAAAAATTCAAACAAGGATAAACCCTAACTATATAATCCACCAAACACTAAAACAATAAATCATAAGCACTCATGCTCGATGGCGGAAACACATGTCGCAACCGTCCCTCCGGGGTCGGGGTCGCGTCCGATTTCGGAGTCGCCATCGATCTTATTTGGAGTGGATCGAATACTCATCGGTCGGCTCTAACCTTATGGTTAGAACCGGGACTTGGTCTGCAATTTCGAGATATGGGTTCAGCAGTACGGTTACGTGTGGGGAAGTTAAGCAACACCCTCACAATGCCCAAAATTGGTACTACTTAAGTTGATAAGTTTTATATTAGTTGGGTGTATTTTAATAATTATGTATTTTAAAATTCCAAATGGACCATTACTATATTGCTATTTCATTAGGTATAATTTAACTAAACGTCCATTGACGTATTAGTTTATGATTAGGTATTTGAGGTATTTTAAGGGCCTTACTGGACCACTAATGAATTTAAATCATATTAGTTGTAATTTAATTATATGCCCACTGACGTAAAAATTGAAGATAAAATTGATTAGTAAGTTGGACTCGAACCTTATCGGTTGTCTATGTCCCCGTAATACGGGATCAAAGTCCACGTAGTTCGTTCGAACTTCGATAATTTAGTTGTGACCACGTTCCACTGATCGTGATTCTCGTATTAAGGATTTTGTTAATAAAATTTGAATAGGTTATTACGAGGTTGTGAAGAGAAACATAAGAATTTTAGTTGTTAGGAATAAACTTGACGTATTAGAAAAGAAACAAGATTAACTTAATCCGCATTCGAAATTTCGTATTAAGAATATTAAATAATAAAACAAAATGGAATGATTAAATTTAAGTATGATGGGCTAGCAACCCAACTGGTTAAGTTGCCAGTCATAGAACGCGTTTGTTCCCGAGAATGAGGGTTTGAAACTCAGTCACAACAATTTTTTGTGATCATCGTTTTAGTTCAGAGACGTGGGGAGGGTAATTTCGTAACTTCCCAAAAATGCGGTGCAAGGCCGAGTAATATTTGCGAAACCCAAAGGATATTTCAGTCATTTTAACCCTTCGGCCGCCGCTCACCCTCTCTTCTGTCCTCTCTTATTTTTCTTCCTCCCTCTTCTTCACTCTGAAAAACTCAAAACAGAAGGAAAGAGAGGCAGCTAACTCGATTCCTCCTCTCTTCCGTCCGTCTCCGCCGCTCTTCTCTCTCGTCGCTCTCGGTTCACTCTTCCAGAAAATGACCCAAACCAAACCCTTTCTCCTCTCTTCCGTCCATCGCAGCTACCACCTCCTCTTCTCCTTGTCTCTAGACAACAAAACTCTCTCTCCTCTCGGCTAGCCAAGGAGGCCACTCGTTTCGTACTACATAAACCGAGAGGGTTTCGATCTAGGTAAGATCAAGACATGCATGGTCTTTTCGATTAATTTTAGGTGATTTTTATTGTGATTTGGCTAATTTTTTTTCTTTTTCTTGTGGATTTTGTGGGTTGGTTTCGGACAAGGGGAAAAGAAGCGGGGAGGAGACCGCCGACGACCACCAGAACGACACACGATTGACGGTTGGCTCGGATCTGTCTTTGTTTTTGGTTTATCGGCTGTATTTTTGTTGGGATCTTATTTTTATCTGGTATTTATATGGAGGTGGGAAGAGAAAACGGAGGTCAGGAAAGAAGAAAGTCGCCGGCAATGGGGTTATTCCGTCAATGACAATGAGATCTAGGTGCAGTTTTTTATTTGCACGCTGAGTCTTCTTTTGATTTTTTTAGTAAAAAATGAGATTCTGATTTTTTTTTTGTTTGGTTGGCCGCGAGACTCTGGTGGCGACAACCTTGTCTTAAAAAGAAAGGTAATATTTTGACTTCAAATTAACGTTAATCTACCATTTTTATTTAGTAGTAAAAAAACTTAAATCTAATTCAAAACTTTATTCTTCTTTCTGGGATGTTTGGATGAGAAACCGGCTGGGTGAGATTTTATTTCGCTAATCAATTTCATAAAAACAAAAGTAGTTTAGAAGAAATCTAGCTCCTTAGTGATCGCCGCCACTGCTTGCTATTACCAAACTAAAAGAAACTAAATTTTCCCTAATCTTATTATTATTGGTTTGATAGGGATTTTTGTGATTTATTAATTAGAAAGCTGATAGGGGTTTATGAAACTGAATCGCTATTGATCGCCCTAATATTTTAAAAAAATCGCCCTAATTTATACTAAAATTACCTTATTGCCCTATCATATATTTCGTCACAATTCATAAACCTAAAATTTAAAATTGCCGTGAACATCATTCACCAATCCCTTCAACCTGCCGCTGGCCACCATTATCGCCGCTGCTGCTCGGAGAAGGAACGGAGGAGACTGCAGAAGAAGAAAATTGTCCCCGCCCTGCTGCTACGGGTGACCGCCGCCTCTCGCCCACTGCACAGTGCCATCGACTCAGCCGCTAACCACCA